TAGTAAAGAATGATGGTGACACAGCGAGTACAGAAGAACAGATAGAACAGAAAGGATTTTTAGAGCAATGAATACTCAATTATATATTGTAACTGTTAACCACCAAACTGGATCTTTTCACTCACTCCCAGAAAGCCAAATTCCAAATCATGAGAAATACTTTTACATGAAGGAGTTTATTCAAGATGGCCATTGAGTGAGTTGGCAGGATAAGCACCCCCAAAACTCCAGCTCCCCAAATGACAGGAGAACTGGGATTTTGTAAGGGGCAAAGGCATGTGAGGCAAGTGCAGGGCTTCTCATTACCAGATCCAAGGAGGTGCCAAGCAGTCTACGCAATAGGAGTCAGATGTTTGACTTTCCCAGCAGGTGGATATTTACTAGGCATCAGCTGAAGGTTTGTTTCTGATGGGAAACAAACTATCAGCCCCGGAGCAACACAGAGAAATTTTTTAGGAATGTAGCACAATTAGTTTTCCAAGTTTCCAGGAATGTAGGTGGAACCAGTTAATAGTTAATCATGAGGAGAAAACAGGGGGCACAATTCAGCAAATTAAAAGTTAATTCTGCTTATTCCTAAATTTTTTAGTCTAGGGCAGTTTTTTATTACAAAATGCAGGGGATCAGGATATATAACAATGGCTGTATAGTGTTATATCTTTGTCCCAACCCATAAAATATATAATACCAAGATGAACCCTAAGGGAAACTATGGGTTTTGGGTGATTATGATGTGTCAATATAAGTTCATCCAATGTAAAAAAAAAAAATTACTGTGAATGTTGATGATAATGAGGGAGGCTATGCCTGGGGCAAGGAGGTAGCTCCTCCTAATGTGAACCTTAAACTGCTCTAAAATAACTGCTCAAAAATAATGAAGTCTTCCCAAAATATTTTATCAACACAGTCTCCCAGAGATTTTGTCTTAGGACTGTGGGCATATTTGGGTGAATGTTGACACCATCCTGGGTGTTGGTGTCTCCCCATCCTGTATTTGACTTGAATCCCAAAGGTACCTTTTGAAACTTTTTATCTTTGATACTCATTTCTTCTGCTGTCCTTTCTTCACCATTCTTTACATATCCCTTGATGGGTGATGAATCTTTTTGATATCTCCACATTTTGCATTATGTAAATGAAAAAATTCAAGAATTTCTCTTGGGTTATAAACTAAGTTGGGGAAAAGGGAGGATAAATTCCTCCTTAGTTTTCATACTAAAATATAAGGATGCATGAAAGCTACAGGGACAACTTAGAAACCTCACATGTAATTTACCAACTAGATTGTATTTCATTCACATTTGATCACTCAGTAATTTTAAGATGCGTAAAGAAATACTAAAAGCATGGGACTAGGAGAGCACACTAAGGCCTAATATATATCTTTGTGTGCAACTGGTTCCACTGTAATTAGCTCATTTCTTTCCTTCACATATTTAACTTTTTGTATATCCTCCTCACAAAATTGTTAGAAATCCAGGTGGGGTAACCAGAGCACTCTAAATCTCCTGCCTCCTTTTGTGTGGAATGACATTATGGGATAATCCCAGAAATTTGTGAATTTGATAAATTCATTGGTGAATTTATCCCATGGAGGTTAGTCCTAAGGAGAGCAGGTGAACTGTTTTAAATTTTAAAGATACGCCAAAGCTGTCTGTTAGTCCCCAGGCTGTTACAATACTTAGAAGTAATGGGGGTCTCAGGTGTTAAAACGAAAACAATAGAAAACATTCTGGAAAGTAACAAACTGCCTTTTGCAAGACTCTGTGTTTCTTAAGTATGGGGATTTTGCAATAAATGAGTTAGAAGATGTAAATGAAGTCACTGATTATTTGGGGGTAATTCCCTTGGGGGTTGTAGGATTTAGCTCTCAGCCATATTTCTGTTGGACTTCTGGACAATGCAGTCAACCTCAAGATTTTAAGCTAATCTTTTTACTGCCTTTTCTGATCATTTAGTATTTTCTACTCTTGATTTTTCTTAATTTAAAAAAAACATTCTTAGTATTTTAAAAATTGGAGTAAGGCTCCTAAGCTATATTTCAGGAAAATGTAGAGTAGGAAAAGGAAGGAAGTAGGGGAAAATTTATTCCTTCATCAGAGACCACAATTATGTTCTAAAACATGTAGGAAATTCTTCAGGAAGCTAGAGGTAAGATAAAAGTAAAATTGTGTTGAATTTATATCACTATAGGCAGTCCCCAGCCTAAGAAGCAGTCAGGTAATAAAGGTTTATTCTCTAAGCTCTTGTTTAGAACTCAGATTCATTTTTCCATAGAAACATCATAAATGATTGAGCTCACAGATCAAACTTGAAAAGTTATACACCAATAGCGAAGGTGAAGCACAGACTCATGTTTCTTGTTGAAGTTCAACAGACCACGCTTCATAATACTCTTCTGCTAGCAAGACTTATATCAAGTTCCACCCATAATACTAGGGCCTACCTAAGAGAATAAAATAGAGTTCAGGTCTCTTCTTTCCAAACTCTTTTCAGAAGTTACCCCTTGCTATCTGCATTGAAGGAAAAGCAGGATCAGTCATTTTTTTACTTTTTTTTAAAGATTTATTTATTTATGCATACAAGAGCTGGGGTACAGGTCAGAATTGTGGCAGGTGAGAGGATTCACCAGAGAAAGAGTAGGGAACAGAACAGGTAGATTGACTGAAATACACTGCTGAGGGGAGTAGTGGGTGAGGCAGGAAAGGTCTGCTGCACCATGTGAGTTGCTCCCTGGTCGGCCAGGAATCGAACTCATGCTGCAGAGGCTGCAGACAGCATCATGGGTTGTATCTTAACCCCTTGCACCACCAGGGAGGCTCCCATTTTTTGATTTCTGACTTAGGAATAAGGGTTATTACCTCCAGAGGAAAAGAGACCCTGTAGATTCAGAGCTTCTCTAGTAATGGCTCATGTGTAAGGTAAATAAAATGATAGAGGTCTGTGAGTTAACAAACTTGAATTTGAATCTTAGCTCAACCATTACCCATGTAACCTTGAATGAGTGACTTTACATGTCTAGGCCTAAGTTTTCACATATTTAAAAAATAATAAATTGCTTCCTGCCTGTGGATGCCACCAAGGAAGCATCACAAAAGTCTCCTGTCACTGCCATCATGTCTAAAATCAGAATCTCCCAAGAAGCCAGGATAACTGGAAGTTCTTTGAGCTTTGAAACAAGCAGTGAGAACCCATTTAGAGCAATGAGAAATACTCACAGGCTGTGTGGTAATGAGAGATCTGAACACCCCAGTGAGCCAGAGGCTTTGGGTTTGTCACTTATGCACCACAGAGGAGGCAAATGTCAGGCCACACAGGTGCATGGAAGAGTTGTGGACTCAAAGCAGGCCATGTCAAGAAAAGATTCTCAAACACTTGGTGCTCATTAACTGTGAAAAAGATTTTTTGGTGGCATCAAAGAAGATACCGAAGAACATCTCTGAGAGATTACTTTCAGCAGTATAGGAAAATGGAAATGGTTGAAATCATGCCTATTCAGGGCAGTGGCAAGATCTGAGGCTTTGCTTTTTTGACCTTTGATGATTGTGATTCTATAGACAAGATGGCCATTCAGAAATATCACACTGTGAGTCGCCACAACTGTAAAGTAAGGAAAGTTACCTAGGTAAGAGAAGGTCAGTGTTTCATCCACCCAAAGATGACAAAGTGGTTCTGTAAACTTTGTTGGTGTTTGTGGAGGTGGTGTTGGTGGGAATGACAACCTTGACATGCAGGAAACTTCAGAGGTTGAGGTGGCTTTGGTGGCAACTATAGTAGCAGTGGGAATGGCTACAATGGACATGGTAATGATGGAAGCAAATTGGAGGTAGTAGAAGCTATGCAACTATCAATCTTCAAGTTTTGGACCCATGAAAGAAGGAAACTTTGGAGGCAGAAACTCTGGCCCCTGTGGTGGTAGAGGCCAATACCTGCCAAGCCACAAAACCAAGGTGGCTGTGGTGACTCCAGCAGCAGCTGTAGCAAAAGGTTTTAATTAACCTTTAAAAAAGAAAACAAAGATGAGCAGCAAAGGAGTGTCTCTGTCTCTCTCTCTCTCTCTATATCTCTCTCTCTCTGCCAGAGAAGTGACAGGGAAGCTACAGATTACAACAGATTTCTGAACTCAGCCAAACACAGTGGGCTCGCTGCTACAAAACTGACATGTTTTAGACAATACTCATATGCATGAGCAAAAAACTCAAGGGCTATATTTGTGACAAAGAGTGTAACAGGTTATTTTAGTTTCTGTTCTGTGAAAAGTGTAAAACCCGCCGCCGGCGGGTCCCACATGGCGTGCAGACTTCTCCTGCGGCGCCCGCTGCTCCCCTCAGCACTGTACTTGGGTCCTTCTGCCTGTTCTGTTCCCCGCGCTGGCTCTGGTGAATTCTCTCACCCTCCTGCGCTGCTGACTTTACCCAATGCTTGTATAAATAAATAAATAAATAAATATGTATAAGTAAATAGAATGTCAAATTTGAGTTTATAGCTTTCAAGTGAATTTCAAAGGACTCTATCACTATCACCACCATCCTCCCCAAAATTAAGAATCTATGGATAAAATAATCTGTTAAATTCCTTTAGCCCTAGCATTTTTAGTTCAGTGTGGTTTCTCAATTAGGAACTGCCTAATCATGATTTACTAACCAACTGAGTATTGGGGCCCTTCAAATAAATTAATATTGTCCTTTGCTATTATACTAGTTAAGCAATCAGCAGAATAGAAATAAAGTTTTTATAACATTTCTACATGATTTCTCATCCTCTGAAAATTTCTCCTCTAGCTGTAATAAAAGATTTGTCATCTCCCAGTCCTCAATTCCAAACTGATAGTTCGCATTTCTAGGTCTTCAATTAGTGTTTTGTAAACTTTGTCCACCCACTACGTCCTCAGTTAATTCACTCTTCTACTAACTTGACATGTCCTTGCCCTTCGGTGTTTTTGAACCAAGATAGAGGTCACTTTAATAAATTAGAATCGTTTTTTTTTTTTTTTCTTTCAGGAAAAGGAGAATTGAACTGCCTATCTTGTGCGTGGAACTACCACCTGAAGGGAGGAATCTGCTCTTCGGACTGTCATGCAGGGAAATACAGAGTGGGAAAGGTACTGAGGGTTGGTGTTGGGTGCCTTTCCCCAGAGGGACATGAGCTACTTTCTGGGTGGCATCCTGGGCAAAGTCAACTAGTTCTAAAAATCCCTACATTCACTACAGATCAGATTTAATTTTTTAATATCATCTATCAGTACATCATGAAACAATGGTACTATCTACCTATAGCTTTAATTTCAGTCAAAGGAACTCAGAATATCTAAGATAGATAGTGTGGAAATTAAGTAAATTAGGCCTCAGAATTAACACTATATTCTTGATTTAGAAGTTTCAGATCTACATGGGAAAATGATGTTAGACATAAGAAGTATCTTCTTCTAGCCCTCTGCTGTCAAACTTGAAATATCCTATGTTGATCTTTTATTTCCTGCACCCTTTTACTGCGTATTAAGAGAGATATATTTTTCATTTGCTTGGATTTTATGAGTCTCATTAATTTCTTTATTTTTTATTTTTTAAAAGATTTACTTATTTATACAAAAGCTGGGGTACAGGCCAGAGGTGTGGGAGATTCACCAGAGACAGAGTGGGGAGCAGAACAGGCAGACAGAAACAGAAAACACTGCTGAGGGGAGCAGAGGGAGAGACAGGAGAGGGCTGCCGCACCATGTGGGTATCTCCCTGGCCGGCCAGGAATTGAACTGGCCCTGCAGAGGCTGCGGACAGCTTCACAGTGCGGCGCTCAACCCGCTGCACCACCAGAGAGGCCCCATTAATTTCTTTTTTTTTTTCTTTTTTTTTTTTTAATAGCTTTTGAGGAACAACTATTTTTAAAAAAAGATTTATTTATTTATGCATGCAAGATCTGGGGTATAGGCCAGAGATGTGGGGGTAAGGGTGAGAGGATTTACCAAAGACAGAGTGGGGAACAGAACAGGTAAACTAACCAAAGTACACTGCTGAGGGAGCAGCAGGGAAGCCAGGAGAGGTCTGCTGCGCCATGGGTTGACCCCTGGCCAGGCGGGGATTGAACTCGTGCTGCAGTGGCTGCGGACAGCTTCATAGGTTGTGGCTCAACCCCTTGCACCACCAGGCAGGCCACCCATTAATTTCTTAATTGTGCTTCCAAACTTAAGAAATTAAGTATCTCCATGGGGAAATTGACACTGGCCAGCATATTCAGTTCTGAGCTCTCTTTATATTCTGACAACTAGCTCTAGTTACACTTTAGATAGAGTGAAGTTCAGAGAGATCAAATAGTTTGCTAAAGATCAGATAGTAATAAGTAACAAAGTTGGAATTGAACCCATCCTAATCCAGGATTGGATGAGACAACACTAGCTAAAAGCACGTCATAGTGATCAAAAAGGCAATTCCCATTTATTCTTGTTATATTATATCATCTTTCAAAAGTCAGAAGTGAAGTAGGGAGGTATCTTTCCTCATCTATTTTCCAGCACCAGTAAAGGTTGGGAGGTGGGGTGAGACCACTTCCTCTTTGACTTTTTCCATTGAGATTTAACTGCTTTAGTGAAAATCACAAGTTACATTATTCTAAGGCAGTGCGATGAGAAGCTAAAAACACAGAAAAGCCAAATCGATGATATAATTGAGTGAGGATGATAGATAAAACAAAACCTCAGTGCATGCTTGATGAAAAGTAGGGAATGATATTTCACCCATGTAATTTGTGACATACAGCAAGTGCTGGAGACTGTATCAAATAGATCACAAGAATGCACAGCAACATTTGCTACATATAATGAATCCAGAGTTGAAAATTCATCTAGCTATTAAAGAAAAATTAGGACTAGATTTACATATAAAATATCCCAATTTTGATATGTGGGTAATAAATTGAAATTTTTTAAGATATGAAGGTCCATATCGTATAGACCAGATAAAGCTTATACTTGACCATCTCAGCACCTGAGCTGTCCTGAGTACCATCATTACTAGCAGATGTCAGAGGAAAAGGCCCACCAATGATTCTATCCACGAGCAAGCAGTTAGTTCTATCTTTCTCCCTGCACAGTTAGAATGAACTCAGAACAAACCAGCTTTCTGCTGTCCCCCACTTGCTTCCCCCCATTATGGAGTTAAGATGGAACTCCCATCTGAGAGTTCCAGGGTTTGTTAATCCCTGATTCAGAAGGAATTTCCTGATTGTTCTTAACAGGGGGACAAATTTAACTGTGAACAATGCCACAAAAGTTGCACAGAATGCAAGGGACCTGGTGCCAACAACTGCACTGTGTGCCCTGCCCACCTGTTGCTGCACATGGATGATAGCCGCTGCCTACACTGCTGCAATTCCTCGGATCCCAGAGATACCCAGGAGTGCTGTGACTGCCAAAAAAGGACAGGTGAGAGCAGAGGAAGAGAAGCCTGAAGAAAACAGGCATGTCCTCAGGAAGTTAATGGGAGCCATGGGGGCGAGGAGGCTGGGAAGTTCCAGAAAAGCAATATAGCTACTCTTTAATTGAATCCCTGCTAGACATCCACTGTACCTCATCTTCATGCTCATCATCTCATTCCAAAAGTAGATATTATTAATCCTATTTTACAAATGCGTGGACTGAGACTCAAAGGGATTGATTAGCATGCCCAGGTCCACATCAATGTTAAGAGTCTCACCTGGAATTTGAATATTGGCCCTTTGGACTGCAAAGTCCACATTCCTTCCACTGTAGCCTCTAAAATTAGAGCTTAAGGAGGTCTAGAATTTCATCTTTATACATTTACTTTCTTTATTTTTTAACTCTTCCCTCCTGGGAAAAAAAGAAGAAAAATCAACTATAAAGGAAACTGATGCTAATATTATCTTGAAGCTGTTGAAGAATCATTCTGAAGATGATGAAATCTATACCTCTCAGACATTTAATGCATTTAGAAATGAAATTTCTCTGAAGGCAAAAAAGAAACAAAACCACCTCTTCCAATTCCTAGTCCCCCAATGTCTCCCAACCACCCCTAACCCCATCCATATGAGTATTTGGTCAATGAGTTCAAACTTAGATCTCAAGTGAGTGATTGCTTCTAAAAAGAAATTGTATTCCTAAAACATATTCTCTAATCCAAAAGATCATTTCCTTAGGATTCAGATGTTTCATTGTCTGACAGAAAAAGATATCATATTTTTAGCAACCTGTCCACTTATAGATAAAGGAAACCCAAGGCCCATAACTGCTACTAGCCATTTATTTTTATTTTTTATCAGCCTTTTCTACTAAATTCTAAATAACATCTTTCCAACATCTAATTATTTTTCCTTCTTTCAGTTTTCCCACCTCAAGAGCAACTTCTTTTCCTAGCTCTTCAAATACATCCTCCTTTAGAGATTGACTATCTAATATTCATCTACATCTATCTAATAGCCATCATTATATTTATGGCTTTTAAAGGAAACTAAAAGTATGTGGGGTGTGCAGCTTAGTTTCCACCAGCCTGTTCCTACAAAGAATTATTTAGTCAACTTTCCTGAATTTTACATGACTTTTGAAGATCTACCCAGACCAACTCTGCAAAAGTCTACATACTCTTGATCACCTGCTCATTCTTCTCTGAGGTCCTCTGCCCCTTCAAAGAAACCAAATCACAGCAGTTGACCCTGACTCTGCAGATAGAGGACTGGGGACTAGAAAGACATTACTGCTTATTTAGACAATGGAGAGGTCTCATTGTTTCTCCTGTCTTGGGAAGCTCTCCCCCTCTTCGTACCACACACGGATTGCTTATCCATCCCTCTGGTGGTATAACCTTTTCTCCAGGGAAAAATTCTGTGCTGATATTGTTAATGATGATAGCAATAATGATAATGCTGTTACTTCATAAGAGGAAATTCTGCTTTATGGGCAAAATCCCATGAGAAGGAAAGTTAAAATAAAATAGAAAACTTGTTTATCACTAAGGAAAAGAGAGAGCTATAGTGGTGATGAATCAGATATAATTGGCTAATATCTAATAAGCAAAAGTAATTGCCCCTAAAATATTTGGCAGCAGTTTTATATCCATTAAACTAGTGTGTGTAATGTTCCTAGAGTCTCTCATAAAAGAATTCTCTGGACAGACCCAGGTGGTTCAAAAAATACTTAGGGAAAATATACTGTGTATTTAAACTTGTACAAACGACATATAGCCTGCTAGCTTGTGTTCTTTTGCTCCAGTTATTTTATACTCCCTTTCAGACTCTGATTTGTGAGCTAAAGAATAGGAAAATAAATAAATCACCAAAATCATACTACCTGAGTAAATGAGTAAAATATAAGAAAAATAAGTTCATTGCTGAAATTACGCCTTAATCCTTTCTTCTGCGCTTCTGTCTTGCTTTTACTCTGTGTTCTCATTTAAGGCATCAAGACTAGTTAATAAATGATAGGGGACAAAGCTCTCAATTTCAGAAATCTTAATTATAATTGAAGAAATTTAATTCACTGAACTTGGTAATCAGAAATTAATGATTCCCTTCCTGCTAGATGAGGGCCACAGAACACCAAAAATAGTTGCCAGTATTTTGCCTTAATGTCTCCAGACATGGAGTTCAAGTTCTGATTACTTCACAATCTTTTACCCCTGACAATGTGACAACTCGCTTCTTTTCTCAGTTTCCTCAACTGTCGAGCAACAGATTGACCTAAGTCATTTTAAAGCCACACATAGCAATAAGAGTCAATGGTTTGATAAATAATCTGCTCCTCCCCTTGAATGAAACAATCATGTTGGACCAGGTTTAAAGGTAGCTCTGAGATGAGTCAGTCTTACAAAAAATGAGAGCTATTTAGCATAAGTGGAACATGGCCTGGGATGGAAAATTTCTCTCAGGAAGGCAACTGAACAATCAATTGGTAAGTTTGGGCAATATGCGACTGATTTATAGGTGTGGGATGAGGGTGAGGGCTGCTTCCCTTTGGATCTCAACTGACCCTCATCCTGGAAGGGTTTGTTGGTCTCCGCAGACCCACACTGGGCTCCTCGTGTAGTACACACTGCCAATTCTGTAATGTGATGTGTCCTCAAAGAAAATCAAAGACTGTTCATCTACCAATTTAGATATGAAAGATAAAAGTAAACTTTTTGACCTCAGAATACCATAATTTTCCTCCTTCCATTTCTTCTCTCCCACCCTTCCCCCTCTCCCTTCTCCCTTTGGGGTTATATTCCAACAGATGAATGCTTCCTTCGAGAAAGTGAAACTGGGCCTGCTGCTGAGCATTTCAAGACAGCTCTGTTCATCACCTCCTCAGTCATACTGGCGCTTCTCTTAGGGGCAGCTGTGATAGTCTGGAGGAAATCTCGGGGCCGAGCCCCAGTAGCACAGAAGGGTGGCTATGAAAAGCTGGCTGATCCTAGCAGGTCTTACTCCTCCTATAAGAGCAGTCATCTCCAGAGCACCAGCTTTGAAGAGGCTCAGATGATGGAGTACAGAGACCGGGACGATGAGGATGAGGATGACGAGGATGATATTGTCTACATGGGCCAAGATGGCACAGTCTACCGGAAATTTAAGTATGGGCTGCTGGATGATGATGAAGTTGAGCTAGAATACGACGATGAGAGCTATTCCTACGAGTGAACAGAGGCAACAGAGGCCTCACCCCAGTTCACTCACGGGATTGTGTGTGAGCATTAGTTTGGCATTTAATCCCCACACACCAGACTGATATGGGGGGGGGGGGTGTTGTATTAATCTTTAAACCACCAGTCCAACTAGAGTATGTGAGAATACTGAAATACATTGTTCTTCTTTTGAATGACTAAACTCAATAAAACATAATTGTTCAACCATAATTGAAGAACAAGGATAAAATTCAGAGGGATTGTCCTCAAAACAGTATGTTAAGATACAAAACACAGGAAGTAAAAAACAAGTGAAATTTGTACAAACTGGTTTATGTGATTAAAAAAAATAGAAGTGGTCTTATTTCTCAGCTCTATTGTGGTGATATAAAAATTCTGTTTGTCAGTTTTGGTGAGGAAATCTGCTCCCCTCTAGAATTCTGATATTTCTTGAAATAATATTTGAGGGATGAGGAATTGTTTGCCTGAGGGAATTTTTTTCCAGGTAGCTGGCTTAAATTTCCTTGGAAGGATGAACTCGAGACTGCTGCTGGTAAGCAGAAGAGACCACTTCCACTGAGGCAGGTCATGAATTATTTAGAGAGGAGGAAAGAAGAGTGACATTATAGCCAAGGAAACGTGTGTCCTTTTAGCTCTGGTTCCTCTACAACTTGGAGTCATAATTCTAGAAGCAGAACAAGCTCAGACAGGAGATAGATGGAGGCATGTGCAGCAGGAAAGAAAATAATAAGTTTCCAAGAATTTCAGCATTACACCCTCATAATTTTCTTAGAGTTTGTCTGGTTGGAAACATCAGCTAAGTCATCACTAATAAAAGAAAAATGGCAACATTAGTGTAACATAAAATGGGATAAGATGATCAAAAATGTCTATTCTAATAAAAAAAGACTTTAGCTAGTAAATTAGAGGGCTTTTGTCAAAAGCCTATCACAGAATTTAGACTCTCCAAAGAGAAAGAAGGAATACAGTCTAAATGGAAAACCCCAGCATCCTGTTCACAAGCTTAATCCAGCTGTCTGCTGGCCTTCCGACGCTGTCACTGCATCCTGAACTTCCCTTTTCCACTCTTCTACCCAGTACACACTTGGATTAGTGCACACCTGGGACAGTTTTTCTGCTTATAGGAATAGAGAGAAAGGGGCTTTTGATGCACAAAATTACTTACCCAGAGTCTTACAAATTCCCTTGTAAAGTAGATATTATAGGCTATACCAGAAGTGGAACAGTGACATTATCAGATGATGATGATAATCATAAAATGTATTGTATATCTACCATGTACTACAAGGGAACTAAATAATTCCTTTAAAAAAAAATCACCCCACTTAATACCATAACTTCATGAAATTGGTACCATCATTAGTTTGTTTTTATAGGAAACCTGAGACTGACAAAATTGAGAAAAAAAAGAATGACCCTAAAGCACAAGTCTTTAATAACCATGCTACACTGACATAAAAGAAGAAGCATTCAGGCCTCCCCTGTTGGTGCAGGAGATTGAGCGCTGTGCTGTGAAGCTGTCCGCAGCCTCTGCAGTGCCGGTTCAATCCCAGCCGGCCAGGGAGGGTCCCACATGGCGCGACAGACCTCTCCTGTCTTGCCCGCTGCTCCCTCAGCAGTGTATTTTGTCAGTCTGCCTGTTCTGTTCCCGCTCTGTCTCTGGTGAATCCTCTCACCCTCCCGCACAACTGGCCTGTACCCAGATCTTGTATAAATAAATCTTAAAAAAAAAAAAGAAGCATCCTAAGCAAATAAAAGCATGGCTATTATTTTATTTTATGACATGGCAACTGTATTATCCTTTCTAAATTCATGCATTTTAATTTTTTATAAAACATAATGTATCACTGATACAGGACATCTCTGTGAAGAAGCTTACAGGTTCCTGAAGGCCTCAGTGTTGAAGACACAAGTAGAGTTTTGTGTTTTTGTGGAAAGGGCTAGATTACACAAACTTTAGTCTTTGCACAACTACTGAACTCTGCCATCATGGCATGAGTGTGGCAAACCCTTAACAGATGAGTGGGCCATGTTCCAATGATACATTTATTTATGAACACTGAAATTTGGATTTAAGATAATTTCCTCTATCATAAAATATCATTCTCCTTTGAGTTTTTCATCATCACTTAAGAATGAAAAAACCATTCTTAGTTCAAGACATTACAAAAACAGGTGATAGACCAGCTTTGGTCAAACAGACTGTAGTTTGCCTATCCTTTCTTTAAGAAATATAGGAGACCATGTGTGTTGCACACACACGGTATGTTCCAAAAATTCTGATCATTTAAAATCATCTTTTAAATCTATTTGAAGTTCTGATAGTACCTTTTCAATTCTTAGAAATACATAAAATACAGTAAGATAGCCAGCACATCAATGGAAGAACTTCTCATTTCTTGCTGTAGAATTACAGAATGTAGCTTACGGAAATAAATAATTTGTTTATACCATGTTGTTCACCTGCCCTGATAATTCACCTGCTCTAATAGACTGAGTCTGACATTTCTTTGTGTAGCCTGAAAATTGGTTTCCAAGAAAAAAAAAATTTGTGTTTATGATACACAGCTAAAGATTAAATGAGGTCAAGACAGCCTTAACTACTTAGAAAAATTGTGGTGTTGTGACTCTATGTGAGCCTGACGAGATTCATGCTGTGTATAGGTACAGTTTGACATCTTTCCTTCTTTGTACTTAGTCATGCCACATTATTCTCAGATTTCTTTTGAATACTATGTTAACAACAGTCTAAATAGATAAATACTTGCTTGGAAAACAAAGTCATTTTTGGTTTTCTGTTTTCAAGTTACTTGGAAATGTTATGAGAGCCCCTGTAGACTGGAAATGAAGCAAGAGGCTAGGCAAGAGCTTGAAAGGTTCCAGTTCATAGAAAGTACTTTTAAAATGGGAAGTAAAATTAAACCAAGACCAAATAATGCCATGGGAACTTGCTTATTAAAGGACTATTTCTGAGGACATTTTATGTGCTTAATATGATGCTTTACCTAGTAAGAGAGCAAAACAATAATGGAGTGCTGTTTGTTTTTTATCTTTCTGCCTCCAGTTAGCAATGTTAAGCTAAAAATTCAGGAGGCCATTAAAAGGAAAAATGGACTCTACATGGAATCAAAGATTTGCAATTCAGGATACATAGAATGGGTAGAACTAAAACATGCCCTAAGAAGGAACAAAGTCAGGAGTTTTTATGGGAAGAAAAGAGGAAGATGAGATAAGCAGTTAAAGAAAAGAATTAATGTTAATAAACATAAACCATTCTTGACCATATATAACTGGTTACTGATTCCAACTTCTGACAAAAAGTCCACAGTCATCAGTCCTCGGGATCAGAATGTCCTTTCCCCTGCTGATTTCACAAACAATGGTTTAGTTCATGAAAAAAATTGCCGTTTGACCCAGATCAAAGGATCTTTGGCCCAATTCAAATAAGAAAGTAATAGTTTTTCTACTGTGGTATCTCTGGTCCCATTTAAAATGGCTGTGTTTGTCAGTTTTTTCACATCAGTTTTCTTTCCTGAAAACACATCATCTGTCTTTTAGTCCCATCATTACTACTTCAATTAAGTCCCAGTCTGGGCCTCCCCAGTGGCGCAGCAGTTGAGCGCTGGGCTGAGAAGCTGCCCACAGCTCTGCAGCACCAGTTCCATCCCCGGCCACCAGGCGAGGGTCCCACATGGCGCCTAGACCTCTCCTGCCGCCTGCCCGCTGCTCCCCTCAGCAATGTACTTTGTCATTCTGCCTGTTCTGCTCCCTGCTCTGGCTCTGGTGAATTCTCTCACCCTCCCGCGCTTCTGACTGTACCCAGTGCTCGTATAAATAGATAAATAAATCTTTAAAAAAAATTAAGTCCCTGTCTTTCTCAACTATACTTTTCCTACTTCCTCCTGAATTACTTCTGATCTTCTGTGTCTTTTCCCCCAATTAATTCTCTACTCTGCTATCAAAAGTTGTTTATATATGTCCATCAAATCATCACATTCTGGGCTCCCCATCACCCATATTGATTATGACATTCAGAATTTTACAAGATGTGGTGACTGTTCTGTTTCCAAACTTAAAAACCATCTCCCTGACCCCTCTATTTCCCAGCTTTCTCTTTTACTCTGCAATAGTACTTGGAGATTTGCTTCTAGGTTCTCCAAAATAATATTGTGTTATGACATTTCTCTGGACATACATTGCTCACTCCCTTGGACTATCTGCTCCCTACCGTGAACAACTGGAAAATTCCTAGCCATCTTTTAAGATCATATTCCTTTATAAGCGCTCCAAGAAATCTTCCTTCACTTCCTTTGAGGTCAATCACTTTCTTACATCTCTGCTGTCTATGTCATAGGCTCCAATCTGATAAAGTAGATCCTTTGCCCTCTAGGGAAAGAATTCATCAGAGAGCACTCAGTGTTGCTGAAACAGGCAAGACTTTATTAGAGAGACTCATGCACAAAAAAACTAATGTAGGGAAAGGAGAATTTAGTCACTCTTTGAAGAGAGTTAGGAGGAAATATTAAAAGAAGTTTATATAGGAAAGGAAGAAATCCGAGGACATAAGGGCTTCTTATTCTCAGTTCAGGGAGGCACTGGGAAGCCTAGGGACAGTCACAAGATTATTGAATGACATTCCTGGAATAGTTTCTCTCCTCTGTGTTATCCCTTTAAAATGGCCCACAGGTGTTCCTCAGACTGGGAAGCTAGTGCATCCTAAGAAGGAATAAAATATCTCCATATGTATTAAGCAACCTACTTCCATAGTCCTGAGGAAAGTGACACAGTGCTTTATTTTGAACTGCCAGGTTGAAGGTTACCGCATAGTTTTTTAATTTTTAAATTTTGTTTTATTTTTTTAATAAATTTTATTTTTATATTCCCCGTACAATTGCAACCCCCTTATTTTGACCCCAATCCCTCCCCTCCCCGCCCCCAACCCATAGAGTGTCTCTGGTTCATAGTTGTTTGTTGATTTTGATTTTCACTTTCTTATAGTTATTCATTTTCCTGGTCCCTTATTTAAGGTTTCTAGATTCCTGCTATGAGTGAGACCATCCGGTATTTTTCTTTTTCTTTCTGGCTTATTTCGCTAAGCATGATCCCTTCCAGCGCCATCCATGTTGCTGCAAGTTGCATGTGTTTATCTTTTTTGAATGCTGAGTAATATTCCATGGTGTATATGTACCACATCTTCTTGATCCAGTCATCTATTTTTGGGCATTTGGGTTGTTTCCAAAGCTTAGCTATTGTAAACAGTGCTGCTATAAACACAGGGGTGCAGGTGCTCTTTGGAATTGATGTTTCTGTGTCCTTTGGGTAAATACC